CATATTTCGAGTGTGTTCCACCAGTTCACCTCCTGGAACTAAAAATTCTCACGTCAATAGACAGCATCATGATAGATTATGAAAAAGATTGAAATTGCACACAATTTAGTTTTATTTGGAACCACAGTCAACACTCTTGGTAACAGTGGTCTTTAGATCAGGAGATGCATTCCACTGGGCAAGTTAACTGTCAAAGACATCACTAAGGTTCTAAAGAGCAAAGACTAAGGTACACCTGATCCAAGACATAATATTATCTTCCTGTGCATCTGAAAGTTGAACAATGCATAAGGATGACACAAGAAGGATTGGTGCCTTTGAGCTGTGATTGGAGAAGATACTGAATATCTCATGGACTGGCAGAAGAAAATACATCTATCTTCTAAAAGGTGGCAACCAGAGTGCTCTTTAGAGGCAAAAACAGCTCAACTTCTCACATACTTTGAACAGGTTGTTAGGAAGGGTCATCCCTGGGAAAGGTCATCATGGTGGGAAAGACAGAGGGGTCAGAGAAAGAGAGCAAGATCATGAAGGAGATGACTTGACACAGTGACTACAGCAATGGGATTGATCATGGCAGAGATTATGATGATGGCACAGTAGAGGAAAAGCTCTAATCTGTTGCTTACAGCATAGCTTTGAGCCTTAGTTGACTCTGTGGCATTTAACTGCAGCAAAAATAAACGAACAAAAATCAACAAAGTTGGTATTACTGCTTTTGATTATTATGTAAGTGTGTTTGTGTGTGAGAATTTCTGTCTTCTTAAAGCTAGGTGTAGTCTATACCGCAGGATTTCATCTTTGGTCCTCTTCAGTAAGTGCTTCAAGTTCTTTTCACTTTCAACAAGCAAGGTTATGTCATTGGCACAACACAGGTTGTTGATGAATTTTCCTCATGCCCTGTTGCCACATTCTTCTTTTCATAGTCTAGCTTCTTGTATTTTTTTTCTGAACAATACAGCCCTGAAGCACACATTTTCTGATTTTGAACCATTCAACAGTCTTTTGTTCTGTCTTGAAGACTGCTTAACAGTAGATGAACAGGTTCTGCATTAGTAAAACTATATTATCTGGGATTTACATTCTTTATAATGTTACCTGTAATTTGTTAAGATCCATATCAATGCCTTTTCATAAAAAATAGAGTAAGCCTCTTTTTCATATTCTCTGTTTTTGGCCAAGATCATTCCAATGTTAGCAATGATATCACTCACTCTACATTCCCTTCCAAACTGAGCTTAAATTTCTGATAGTTCTCTGTCAACATATTACCACAGTCTTTTAAAAGTTTTCTTCACTAAGATTTTACTTGCATGAGAACAAATACCAATATTATTGATATTATTAAATACTTTCTAATGTTCTAATGTTGGGTCACTCTTCTTTGGAAAGGGCACTAGCATGTATCAGTTCCAGTCAGTTGGCCAGGCAGCTGTCTTCCAAGTTTCTTAGCATAGAAGAGTGAAAACCTTGCATCTCTTTGAAAAGTAATTTCAATTGGTTTTCTGAATATTTTGGAAGTCTTGTTTTGCACCAAAGCCATCAGTGAAACTTAGACTTTTAATACCCATTGTTCTTGATCATATGCTGCTTCCTTCAACTGAATGTTGGCCAATTATTTTTTGTACTCACATACTCTGCGTGTTCCATCTTCTTTTAATGCTTCCTGAGTTGTTCAACATTTTGCCAATAGAATCTTTCAGTATTGAAACGTGAAGCTTCACTTTTTCTCCTTTAGTTCTTTCAGTTTGTTCTCAACCCACATGCAACTAAATGATATACCAATCACATGTGCAATAATATCTTGGAAATTTGTCAAAATACTCAGTACTGAAATGAAATATCAATATGTATTTTATAAAACAAATTATTAATAATTTGGGAAATTTAGATTTCTAACAGTTATAGATTTTTATATTAAGGTAATAAATCTTAACTTTCACAGTGAAACACCATAATCAATGGGAAACAGATGGATTTATATTAGCAAGGCTATTAGGAATCTCAGGGTTAAGAAAACAAGGATTCTTACCACTGGACCCATAGACAACATCATGATGGATGGAATGGAAATTGAAACTGTCAACAGCTTCATCTTGCTTGGATCCACAATTAACACTCTTGGTACAAGCAGTCAGGAGTTAAGGAGATGCATTGTACTGTGAAAATCTGAACTTAGGGACCTCTCCAAATTATTGAGGTGCAATGTCAGTTTGAGAACTAAGGTCCATCTGATTCAGGCCATGTTCTTTCTGATCACTTTGCTATTGCATCTGAGAGCTGGACAATGAATACGGAAGACAGAAGAATTGACGCCTTTGAACTGTGGTGTTGGAGAAGATCACTGAACATTTCATGGATGGCCAAAAGAACAAAAAGTTATGTGTTGAAGAGGGTGCAGCTGGAGAGCTTTTTGGAGGCAAGAATGATGAGACTTCACCTCACATACTTTGGGCATATTGGTAGGATGGGCTATTCCTTGGAGAAAGACATGATGCTGAGAAGGTCAGTGAAGGAGAGGGAGACTTCAACCAGGTGGATTGACACGGTGACTGCTGCAATGGGCTCTTGTGTGTCAGGAAGTGTGAGGATGGCACAGGATAGAGCAGGGTTCAAATTTTGTTCATAGGGTTGTTATGAGTTTTACTCGACTCAACAGCACCTAAGAATAACAACTAGGAATTACCAAAAGAATAAGCAAGCAAGTCTGTCTTGAAGCAAGTACAAATCATTCCCCAATAACCAAACTGACAGTTAAGTGTACTTCTAAAAGCAAACCATAAGACAACCAGCCATAGAAATGTCATGAGACAGGACATCCTTTTCAAACCACAGCTGAGGCCCATGGTGTTTTGTCCTGGATGGAGGTACTGGCACAGGCCATGCACAACATCATTAGCACTGATTCTTAGCACAGCCCTGAGTCTCAAGGGCCTGAAGCTATGTCAGGACCCTCGCTGCCCACACAGATGCTTGCAGACTGACCTCTGCCTTAGGCCTATGGATCATGCTGGTGTCTGGGGTGGACTCCTTATTGCCCGCAGACCTCTGCTTGAGTGCTCAATACTCACTGAAGGGCCAGGGATGCATGTGCCAATGACTGTAGACCCCTCATACCAGGCCTCTGGATCCTGCTGGGGCTGATGCACCTCCAGTGTAATGCTCAGGCCGATAGGGTATTCCTTGGAGAAAGACATCATGCTTGAAAAGGTGGAGAGGTGGGTGAAAGAGAGGAAAACCATCAACCAGACGTAGTAACACAAAGACTACAGCAATGGGCTCAAGTATGTTAGAAATTATGAGGATGGCATATCATATGACATATGATATGATGGCATATGATATGATCGGTTGTTCATGGGGATTCTATAAATTGTACTCGACTCAATGGCACTGAACAACAACAGTCCTTGGGAAAAAAAAATATCAGCTAGGGAATGTAGAGAGGCATCAAAAGAGAAGACTCTCAACAAGCTAGACTGACACTGTGACTACAATAATGGGCTTGAGCTTGGCAGGGATTGTAAAGGAGGCACAAGATAGGAGCTCTGGTGGCCTAGCAGTAAACAGCTGCATTGTCAACCAGAGGGCACATGGTTTGAATCCATCAGCTACTCAATGGGAGGAAGATGGACCATCTCCTCCATGCAACTTATTGCCTCTGAAAACTCACCGGAGGGTGAGCTATCTTGAAGGATCTTGGTGACATAGTGTATTATGTGTTTGGTTGCTAAGGTAAAGGTTGGTATTTTGAGCTCACCAGTTTTTCATCAGAAGAAAGAGGAATGAATAGTCTCCTCCTGTCAAGATATACAGACTAGGACACTTGAAGGAGGTTTGCTATGAGCTAGAATTGACTCTAACCCAGTGGGGTTTAGTTAGGGTGTTATAACGTGACTTTGTCAGATTTTTGTAGTTACCGGCTTATCCACAGAAAATTGTCTCTCTTACAGAATGTCTCATTCCACACATTTCTGGGAAGTTTGTACTGTATTTAAATGAATCTACAATTTAATCATATGTGTGACCAATGCTGTCTAGTGACACATACAGCATAATGATTCATTACTCTACAGTATTTTAGTTTTATAAGAATGTAATATATATATATATAAAATTCTGAGGTGAAGGGTAGCAGTTGGAAATCATAATTCCTTTAGAAAAACAATCTTACAGATTAGTCACCATGCAAACGAAGAAAAAAAAATTGATAATTGAGACCATACCATTTCTGATCTTTTCCAAGCAAAGCAATACAACGTAGAGCTGGTTACATTTAGAAGTAACTAATAATAAAGCACCAGGCACTACAAGGCTTTGCTCAATGTGGGAATTGGGACTCTTTTTTTTTTTTTTTAAGGAAACGATCTTTGTTCTCATTTAGTGAATTGAAGGAGTTAGATTAAATTATTGTTTACTGATTTAATCTATAGTCCAGACATCTGGTGGGTGAATTGTATTTCTTGTGCTTTTTATTTTTTTCAGTCTTGCAAAATATTTGCTATAAGAAATTTGGAGTGCTTTAAAATATTGTAATTTTTTTAATTACCAAGTAATTCCTGAGATAATACAGCCCCAAGGAGTCATTACATTTATTCAAAGATCTCGTGTTGTTATTTAAGCCAAAATAAATACAACATAATTGCAATTTTAATAAAAACTTAATGGAGTCAAAGTTCATCCCAAGATAATTATTCCACACTGCACGGGGAGAAATATGTGTGAAAATAATAGGAGGAAATTCAGTGTACTGAGTATGAAATGTTCAAAACAGGAATGTTTAAAATATTCCATTAATGCTTAAAAATAATCTACACTCTTGGTCAAATGATCATTTGCCAGGGAGAACCAAAGTTGAGACATTTCTATTAAAAACATGACTCAGAAGGAAAAATGCAGAGGCTGGTAATGAAGGAAATGTTCTGAATTTATTCCCAATTGGTCCTTGAGAAGATCACATGTTCTGGGCATCGTTAAAAGGAAGCTCTCTGGACTTGAGAGGGTCATAGCCCCCTTGTGACAGCTGCAGCTCTCTCTTACCTTGAGGAATAGTTGTAGAAAGCTCACAAAATGTGTGACGCTTTAGTAGGTACCTGGAAACTGGTCTCCAGTGAAAACTTTGATGATTACATGAAAGAAGTGGGTAAGGAAATACATTGTGTGATGACTGAATTTATAACTTTTTCTTTAGGGAAAAGGGGCCTATGGCTGAATTGTTCACTCTGGAATCATGGATTAGATATAAAAATGCTGTTTCCCCTATAAAATCTATATATATATTGAATAAGGAAAAATTTGTTTCTAGAAATAATCTGGACCAATATCAGAACTAATACTTCGTAAAGCCAAAACAATATAGAAATTTTGCAATTTTTTAAAGAGTAAGTTTTTACTTTAATTGCTAACAGTGTTCTTTGACTCTTTACTTGTTTTCTTTTTCCCCCTCTTGAAATGAAATAAAGAAATAAAGACATTAATTTCACTGGATGCACTAATTTTCATTTGAAATGGAGAAGACTGGATTTCTAACCATATTGTGTATTTTTTTTTTAAAAATGTTTCTGCATGCATATTTGTCCATTATGTTATTCTTTTTAATGTAATGCCATTAATCTGTGGGGTTATTTATTTTACAGGTGACAAAATATTAGTTTGAGAAAATTCATTTCTTAGAGTACAAAGGTTTCTTTGAGTAGAAATTACATGGGATAATAGGGAATTATTAAGTAAAAAAAGGAGAAAATTGAATATTACATAAGTAACACCTCCTGTCTAAACATCTTTTCTTCTAAAGAAGGCATTTAGTTTTTCAGATTCTTTTTGTTATTTGTGAGTGTTCCCCCAAAAGTATGAAAGTAAAGTAAAGGAAGAAGAGATAGGTAGGTTCAGGCAGACAATTCCTAACCTGAAATTTTCCTCCTCATACACCTGTAAGTGGTGAAATGCAATACAGGAGTAACAAACTGGTGAGAAATATTTAATTTATGTAGTATTTTTATTATGGCTTAGAATTTGTAGCCTAAATATCAACTGATTTTATTTCAACCTAAGCTTTTTAAAGGGTGTGTTTTACTTATCTCTAACTACTATTTTTCTTGTTTACAGACAAGAAGGAAATCAAGAATTTCAGCATGATTGAAATTTAGCTCTAGTGTGACTCTCTGTGTTAATATACAATGATATAGTAATGCTAGGCATTGGGATTTTTTTCAAAAAATATTCATTTAAACTTTTCTTTAACTTAGATTAATCTGGAATTTTATACTTTTCTATGACAATAATTTTTAGTTTAATATTTTTACACTGTACCTTATACTTTTTAAAGTATAAAAATAGTACTTTTATTTCATTAATATAGAATTTTAGTTAGTACGACTCTACGCTAATAAAGCTAGGATCTGACACTTCCAATCTTTAAAAAAATTTATACTTTTAACTTATTAAATTAATCAGTCATCAAATTTCTAAGATTTAGAACACTGGTAATAATTAAAGACAATAAAATAATTTCTAAATTTATGTAAACAATAAACTGCTCTAATTGATGTTAAGTGTGCATGTTCTACCTTCCTCAAATTTAGAATTAAAAAATTGTAGCGCTTTTATCATGTTAGCCATTCCAGAAGTAAAATGTGTCACTTGACTTCAAGGACAGCATCCTTTCATCATGCCAGCTCACTCCATGTAGGTTTTGCAGCAGAGACAGGGCTTAAGGATGCAAAATGTTCGCTTCCTACCTAGGACCACTTCTCAGATAGGAAGCTAAATCAGAGCTGTGACATCATTTGTTTCCCTTCACAGCTTCCCATGCTTTTTTATTCTTGATACACACAAGTTGTCTTTAGGCAAACAAGTCACTGAGATTTATGAAAAATTTACCACATCCATGACTATCATAAAATCTGCATGACATACAGTCACAGCAACTACCTGTCAATGGTGGGTTGTAAATTTTCCATCTTAAAATTTACACAAGAAAAGCATACTTCTCTTAAAACTTAAAAAAAGAAAATTTGCAACCTCAAAAAAAAAAAACCCAAAAAACAAAAAACAAACCCAGTCAAACCTATTGCTGTGAAGTTGGAACTGACTTATAGCTGATCACTAATTGGGCCTCGAAGGCAGTAAATCTTGTGGGAGGAAATTGCCATATTTCTCCTCCTGGGAGATTTCTGGAATTTGAACAGCCAGAGAAGTATGACATTTTGGTTAGGAAAGCAATACTTTGTGGACTAGGCCACCAAAGCTCTCTAACTCAATATATAACTAAAAATAATTATATGGAATAAAGGATATTTATAATATCCTTTTTAGAGTGTGTAGCTTAGATGATGAGGAATCACCGTATTGATTTCTACATTTATTAAAATCATGATGCTAACGTTTTCACATTTTCATAGCTGATACGCAGCCCTTCCAGACTACTACCTATTATTTATTGAGAAAAATATAGCCATTATAAAATTATATGAATATATGAATCATTTTGTCTTTTGGAAAAATTAGTCTAAATAAAAGAAAATAAATATTTTGTTAAAGAAGTCAAGAAAGTAGATTCACAGTATATATTGGGGGATTTGATTCTTACCCATCACAAAATAGGTTCTCTTTGAACTGAAGAGCTATATTGGCCAGGAAAAAAAAAACAAGACAAAACTTCTTGAGAATTCTCTTTAATTAGAAATTTGATAATTTTTTATTATCTAAGAAGGTAAGACTGAAGTAGCTTAAGTATTTGATAAAACTATAGTGATGGTCTCAGTGGGTTGTATATAATTTTTTTTAAAAAAAAGCATATTCTAGAAGATTTAACCATTGTATAGGTTATCTGTGAAAATGAACAACAGGTCTCCTGATGAGTTAAACCTTGACTCAGATAAAGAGAAGTTTAGAAAATGAGTCTTCACTTTCATGCCTTTGAGTTTTTATTGACCTGATTTCCTTATCTTGCAGTAACTGTTTAAACAAGGCCTTTATGAAATTCAGTGCTGGCTTTCCCCTTTGTGTAAACACAAACTTAGACACTCAAACACAGAGAAAGTTCTCTTACTATAGAGATCAAAACCCAGAATGAACTAACTAACCAAAACACAAACCTATAGCCAGCAGGTGAATTCCAATTTATGGCGTTCTGCAAGCAGGTTTCTGAAGCTCTAATTCTTTTTGAGAAGTTGTTCATCTGTTTTCTTTTTCACTCTACAGAAAAGCTTACACACTGGGCTGCTGACCTTTGGATTAGTACTTTGATGTGTAGTACACTCCACCACCAGGACATCTACAGATATGGGGAAAAAAAGTACAATCTGGCATCTTCCTTTTCTTTTTCTGTAGGTGTGGGCTTTGCAACCAGGAAAGTGGCTGGAATGGCCAAACCCAACATGATCATCAGTGTGAACGGGGATGTGATTACCATTAAATCAGAAAGTACCTTTAAAAATACTGAGATTTCCTTCAAACTGGGCCAGGAATTTGATGAAATCACTGCAGATGACAGGAAAGTCAAGGTGAGGAACCCAGGATTGGTACAGTAAAACAATGGCTTCCAAATGCTGTCTACAGGAAATAATTTTTAAAGGAGAAAACGATTGTATCACAAACAATGAATGGTCTCAGAGGTCCTAGACCTAATCAGGTTACCATCCATCTGTAGTTGGTGATTTCCAGCCCTCCTTTTTGTAATGTTGCTGTGGTACGGTGAAAAAGAATTAATATAAATTATTTGTCTCAAAGAGTATGTGAAATTAATTAAAGTAACATAAAAATGCTGAATATTTGGAAGAGAATGGAAGAAAGGTACAAAGAGAATAAAATTACCCATAATGCTGACATCTCAACAAATTTTTATGTGCATGCTTTCACAATATTTTTCCAATACATGCTTAAACGAAACTGGCCATCATGTATATATAAAGGGATATCTGCTTCATCCTAAATATTTTTTGATTATTATAACATGTTTTGGTCTTTTAAAATGAACACAAAACATTACTTTGAACAAGTCTATCTCATTTTTAACTTTATGATCAATCTTTATAGTCAATTTTTACCACTTTTTTATTGTGTTCACAGAGCATCATAACCTTCGACGGGGGTGCCCTCGTGCAGGTGCAGAAGTGGGATGGAAAGTCAACCACCATCAAGAGAAAACGAGTGGATGACAAGCTGGTGGTGGTGAGTATTTTCCAGCTGCTTCATTCTGGACCCCACTGTTAAGGCATGCCATCATCAGTCTGCCTGAAGGAAACCACCGCCGTCAAGGCGGTTCCACCTCATGATAAAATTCCACCAGTCTCCCAAGCTTTTCACATTTTTACAGGAGGAAACTACTCAGTTTCCTTCTACAGCATGACTGGTAGATCCTGACTACCAACATTTCCGTTAGCATTGTCACATGTAATGCACTACAGCACAATGGCTACCTAGTTATTTTAAAGAACACAAAACAGTGTACATACACAGATATACATACACTGTATATACACACACACACACACACACACACACACTATATATGCACACACACTATATATACACACACTATATACACACACACTATATATACACACTATATATATATTACACTATATATATACACACACTGTTGTACATGCCAAGAAAACAAACAGATTTATCATAGAAAGGATTAAACCAGGCTGTTCCTTGGAGGCAAGGACTCTGGGGCTTCATCTGACATACTTTGGACATGTTGCAAGGAGAGACAGGTCTTTAGAGAGGGACATCATGCTGGGTAGAGTAGAGGGACAGCGCAGGAGGGGAAGACCCTCTATGAGGTGGATTGATTCAGTGACTGGGGTACTTGGGATGGGTGTGTCAGAGGCAATGAGATTGGCACAGGATAGAGCACAGTTTAGGGCTATTGTACATAGGGTTGCTATGAGTCCCAAACGACTCGATGGCACATAACAACAACAACATATACACACTATATGTATACACACTCTATATATACACTATACACACACACACACACACACACACACACACACACACACACACATTGATTTAGTAAGGAGTTGCACTGCCAACACAAAGTTATACAATTCAAATTCACTAGCTGCTCTGCAGGAGAAAGATGGGCAATTTCTTCCCATGAAATTTATTACCCCCATTACCCACTGGAGAATCAGATATGAGTTGGTTCTGACTTGACAGTACACAAGAGCAACATATATGTTTACACTGTCATACATCATACACACATATTTTATATATGTATATGTATATATATATGTGTATGTATATATACACACACCACACCCCCCATCATATTTTAACACACTATATATATAGTTTCTGTTGTTAGGTATCATTGAGTGTAACAGACCTATAATTAACCCTCCAATGAGTTTTGAAATGCGGTTAATGACATGGGAGGGGATTTCCCATCTTTTCCCCATAGAGAACATGGTGGATTCAAATCACGTGTCCTTAGGTTGTCAGTGCAACTCCTTACCACTAAGTCACCATAGCTCATATATAATATTACATATAATATATATTATATATCTATTGTTGGTGATTGCCATAGATTCAAGCATGACTCATAGAGACCCTATGAACAAAAGGCCTGAAGCTTTTCTATAACTATCATCATTTATCAAAGTTCATAGACTGTCCAGAGGTATGTTGTTTAGGAAGTGGATGCCACTCCTGCTTCCCCACATACCCTCCCATTGTGTATATACATATATATATATATATATATATACTCTTTCATAATATTTACATGATCATGGTTACATTCTGGCAGTTTCTTCAGAAACTTTTCAGAAGCTTTTAGCTTCAGCACAGGCATGTCATCCCTCAGAAACAGAAAGCCATCCCTCAGAAATAAAGAACTCCCTTGGACTTCTCTGGTAATGTGAGTCTGTCTCAATCAGTGCATGGACCACATTGTATTATGTACTTTCCTCATCATATGAATTGTTAGATTCCTTAGGAAGAGGATATCTTTTCTTGGTCTTTATATATTCCTAACTCTTTTCAATGCTGGCCATATAAGCACCAAGAACAAATATTTTTAAACAAATATTGTTTTCTTCTCAATAGTACAAAAGACTGAACAAGTAAGCCTACTGTTTGACTACATCCTTTGTATCTAGGAATGCACCATGAAGGGCGTCACTTCCACCAGAGTTTATGAAAGAGCGTAAGACAAAGGCCGCTGAGCTGGGCTGAAGCTTGCAACAAATACTACCTTCCGTTGGATGTACTGTACAAAGAGCATCATCATCATTTTCAACAAATAAGCAAGCAGTTACTTTCCCTCAGACTGATTTTATTAAATATGATTGTGTTGGGTAATAAACAGTTTTAGAATTAAAAAGTGATGTAATGTTATTCATTGTGCTGGTTAACTTTGTACTGATAACTGAGTGAAAGGAAATAGAAATTTTGCATTATTGCTTTGTGATGTAAGTAATACTATTTTTCACAACAATCTAAAGTTTAAAAGAGAGAGAGAGGGAGACCACAATAGTCACACTTTTCTTGGGTAGGAGAGGATGAGAAGGAGCAGTTACTGAATATAAAGCTCTCCTTTAGAATCTATAGTCAAGCAGCTATTTCTCAGAGACCTAATCTGTTGCCATTGGCTTGATTACAACTCCCAGTGACTCTACAAGGCCGAGTAAAGCTGCCTACAGGGTTTCTAAAGCTGTAATTTACAAAAGCTGATTACTACATCTTTCTCTCATAGAGTGACTGGTGAGTTTCAAACCATTAACCTTTTTGGCTCGTAGATGAACACTTAACCACAGCATCACCAGGACTCCTTCAGAGAATGAAACAAAATCCCACTCAGGCTGAGTGAATTCTAACTTATAACAACCATCCATCAGTTTTCTATGCATTAAAATATTACTGGAAGATATTATTTATCTTTGTCCCGTGGAAACAACTGGTAGATTCAAACCACTGAACTGTTGGTCATCAGTGCAACATACTGTACACTATATTGGCAGAGATCCAGTTTTATATGTAGTCCACAACCAGCTAGTCCAAGAGTTTATGTCTCACATCTGCCTGCTTCAGAACACTTAAATTGGCAGGTTGAGTAGTAATGTGTAACAGAGAAAAAGATTTGTTGTGTTTTTTTTTTAAATTTTCTAATTATTTTTATTTTATTATTTTGTACCATCGAATTGGATCCAACTGGTAGAGGAGGAGATTGACCCTCCTTCTCAAGTAGAGCATCTGGTAGATTTGAACTGTATGCCTTCAGAGAAAAAGGTTTTTGGTTTTTTGGTCAGATTTTTAATTTATTTTTAAATTTATTACTAATTTCAATGAAAATTTACAGAGACTTTGGGTTTCCATTCATTCATTGTTGCCCTTTTCTCCCCTCCAAACCCTCCCCCTAGTACACTAACCTCTTGGAAAAGTAAAAGAAAAATTCTTCCATTGTTTTACACACCCTCCCCCAGGTTCACTTCACCATGCAGCCTTCACTCTGGACTCCTGTCAAGACAAAAATATCTAATCACATATCCCTTTTAAACAGTTTTCTCCCTCATCTGTTTCAATGCAGTATACATTACTAAACCCATCTTTCTCAGTCTCCCCTCAACCCCAAGGTCAATCCTGTTTTACAGCAGTGGCAACATGCAGTATTTGTACTTTTGTGACTGAGATACTTCCCTCAGCATAATGTCCTCCAGGGTCACCCATTTTGCATAATATTGCATGAGTTCCTTGTTTTCCAATGCAGTGTAGTATTCCATTGTGTGAATATACCACAGCTTCTCTATCCATTCGTTTGTTGATGGGCACTTAGGTTGTTTCCAACTCCTTGCCATTGTGAACAAAGCTGCAATAAACATGTCTATAATGAACATAGATGCAAAACTGGCCAATGGAATGCAACAATACATCAAAGAAATAATTCACCACGACCAAGTGGGATTCATAACAGGTATGCAAGGATGGTTCAACATAAGAAAAATAATTAATGTAATTCATCACATTAACAAAGCAAAGAACAAGAACCACATGATCCTATCAATTGATGCAAAAAGGCCTTTGACAAAATCCAACACCCTTTCCTGATTAAAACACTCAACAAAATAGGATTAGAGGGGAATTTCTTCCACATAGTAAAAAGTATTTATGCAAACCCAAGACCCAACAATGTTCTCAATGGAGAGAGGTGAAAGGCATTTCCTTTAAGAATAGGAACTAGGCAAGGATGTCCACTATTACCTCTCTTATTTAACATTGTTTTGGAAGTCTTAGCGATAGCAATAAGACAAGAGAAGGGAATAAAAGGTATCCAAATCGGCAAAGAGGAAGTAAAATTATCTCTCTATGCAGATGATATGGTAATATACTTAGAAAACCCTAAAGACTCAGCAAGAAAACTATTGGACACAGTGGACCAATTCAGCAAAGTAGCAGGATACAAGATCAACATACAAAAATCAGCTAGAGAAAAAGTTTTTCAGAGCCTCATTTTGGTTTGAAAAATCTGAAAAAAACCCAGCTTGCCTCTGAAATCGCTCCAAAATTCAGAGCAAATTATTCCATGATATTCATTACAGAGAAGAGATTATAGCCAGGTATATGAATACACTCTCAATAGTTTCCAAAGTATTATTTCATCACCGGCGGATGTTGTTAGGTGCCATTGAGTGGACTCTAACCCATAGCGACCCTATATATCATAGACAGAAACCTTGCCCAATCACGTGCCGTCTTTACAATTTCCACTGTGCTTGTACTTTGTTAAAGTCAAATCTATGAGTCCATCACATTGAGAGTCTTTTTTTTTCTGTAACTGATCTTCATTTTTCCAAGCATGATGTCATTTTCCCATATCTAATCTGTTCTGATTACATGCCCAAAGTACGTGCGATGAAGTCTCACCCTTCTTGTCTTGAAGGAGCATTCTGGTTGCACCTCTTTCAAGACAGATGTTCGTCCTTTTGGCAATCGATGGTATATTTAGTATGCTTTGACAACACGACAATTAAAAGTCATCATTCTTCTATTGTCTTTATTCATGGTACAAGTTTATACATATATGAAGCAATTTAAAATATATTGGTTTGAATTCTTGCTCTTTCTACTGAGAGTCAGTCTTAAAAGTCTTCAAGGGAGTGAATTCTTGCCCTTTCAACTGAGATTTCAGCTGTAAAAGGTTACAAGTTACTCTAAGAACCCCTCGCTTTCCCATGACCATTAACAACCTTTAGTGCCAATACTTAGAGTGTCAACGAATCCTTCTACCATCAATTCATCACTTGCTCTCTGCCTGCTTTATTTTAAATTTCATTTTTATTTTATTTTGTGTTACATTTTATGATTGCATAAACAATATGGAAAATGTGAGAACTTCAGGAGTAAAAGAATGTTTTAAAAACCGAATGGATTGAGACATTATGGTACATGCACATGATGAAATACCATGCAGCATGCAGGAGCAATAATTTTGTAACTAATTTGGGAGGGATTGGAGAGCCTTCTGCCAAGTGAACTGAGTCCCATAAGGACAAACACTTTATAAGACCATTACTGCAGGACACACATATGGGTATACAAGCATGGGAGAGTGGGAGCAAAGGGGTGTGTGTGTGTTAATCATAGGGTTGCACAATTTAATGGATGGAGGGGAGGGTGAGTGAAGGAAATGGGAAAGATTCTGTGTGAAAAACAATGTATATGAACTTTGTAAGTAAAACAGTAAAAGATAAAAAAAATTGAGAAAGTCTTTGTTAATAAAAATAAAAAGTAGCTCTCTAGTACATTCTTCCTTCTAAGTTTTAGTCCAGAAGTTTTGTTAAAACCTGTCCAACTTGAGTGACGTTGACAATGTTTGAAGAATCAGTGACATAAACAGTAACACGCAGGTCACTACAGTACAACAAAATATCAGATGATTTAGAAGAATGTGCTTAAAGAAATCTTTGGATAGTGCAGAGAATAAAACTATGGAGTATCAGGTGAATGGCCAAAATGTATCTGTATTGAATGGAGTGTGTTTTCTAAATTGATTCATTTTGATGCAGAAGGAAGGTCATGCCGTAGACTGTACGACAAATGCAGAACTAGCAGTAAAGAGTGATTACTAGGGACTTGAAGAAGGAGTAATTACTGGGTGTTTTTTAACACCCAATGAGGTAGGTACAGGGTTTATCTGGTAGAACGTGCACCTCTGATTGGGTATTTTAGTTTGGTTTTTTGTTTGTTTGTTTTAATTGACTAAGATATTTAGCAACTCAGAAGGAGTAGAAATTAAGTTGCAGAAAACTTACAATGATTCAGATAGACTTTGGGGAAAAAATGTATCTGCCTTACAGTAAGATGAGTCCACACATTTTATTACCTTACAAAACACTGGTAAGTCTTGATCAGCAACTTTAGTTCAGCATTGTTCACTTCACTCAAGCTCTACCTTATTTATGATGTATTACTAATTCCCTTATTTGTTAGTGAATTAAATGAAACTTAATACATAGAAGATCCTAGAGCTTCTGCAAGAACATTGAAAGATTCAGGAAATTGTGCAAAAGCAACACACAAAACTGAGTCAAATTCCTCTACATAAACAAAGAGAACTTTGAAAAAGAATTAAGGGAAGCAATACCATTTATCATAGCTACCAAAAAAGATAAAGTGATGAGTAGTGAACTTAGCTAGAGAGCCAAAGAGTTACAGAGGAATCTGTGAAACATTACCACAAGAAAAGAAATCCACATAAATGAAAGAATATATCAGGCTCATGGAGAAGAGAACATAACTTTGTAAAAATGTCAATCCTACACACACACACACACACACACACACACACACACATTGACGTAGAGTCCAGCAATAATTTTCAAGGAAATGGAAGAACCAATTATTAACTTTATATATTCAAAGGAAGAAGACCACTGACAAAGAAGAACAAAGTAAGTCTCACATTTCCCAATTTTAATACTTACTACTATTAAGTCATAGTAGACAAAGCAAGCTGGTGTTGAGATAATGACAGACACATACACCAATAGAACAGAACTGAGAACCCAGAAATAATTACTTACATCTTTGAACAACTGATCTTGACAGAGGGTCATGAATCATTAAAAGGGAAAAATAGAATCTTTTTAAAACATAGTGCTGAAAAAACTAGGTATCCATTTGAAGAAAAAGGAAACAAGATCTCAAGAAGCAA